AGCTTGTAATTTGAGGTGTAATATATATAAATAAAAATCAATTGGGTAAATTTTAGCAAAAATGTAAAGCATAAGCAATTTCTTTAAACAAGAAAATGAGACATTTTTTTTAATTTGCTAGATATTGTTCTTTCTTTAAGCTATTGCATATTTTGGGTAATGTTTCTGCTATGTGTAAATTATTGATAAGTATGTTTAAATATTGACAAGTTTTATAATAAAATGATCAAAATTCTTGACAAAATGGCGAAATTTATGACATCATCTTTCATTGATAAGTGGAAATTTACGTCATTTTCAATAGATTTGCAGTCACAGAGGGTCAGTATGATATTAATTGTGTTGTTAACTTGAAATTTTTAAAAGAAATTCACGGAGCCGAATAGTCCTAAAGGTCAAGATATAAGAAATGAAAGATGCCTACAGATTTATCAAATTTGAGAAGTAAATTCCTTGAATATCTCTTTATAAGCTTACTAGGTAGCTTGGTCAAAAATGTGTCTCGTAGCATAATGTGTATATATTAAACAAGATGAAAAAATGTCATACTTTAAACTGTCATTTTAAATGAAAAATTAAGAAAACTAAATTTCAATATGGGACTTTTTTCAATACCAGACAAAAGAAATGTATCCAGATTGCCTATAGTCTTTCACAAAATGGTGCTGTGTTTGTTTTTGGCATCTTCTTTAAAATGCTGTCAAATTTAATATACACTGTACGTATCGGGATAACTTTTCATATGATTTCAAATTAAATTCCAAGAAAATACATAATTTTCTAACACAATTCAAACAGAGGCTTAAAGTATGAGAAATTCAAAGTTGAAATTGATAATGATGCCATTATGGATCTAGCACTAAAAAGATAAGTCTAAATTCAAATACTAGATCTTGACCTTAATGTCAGATCTAATCAATGTCTTTAGATTTACTTTTTAATGATAAATCCATTATGACATCATAATCACTCTCAACTTTCTTTTTCCCGTACTTTACGGCTCTAATAGAATTATGTAGAAAATAAAGTATTTTCATGGAATTCAATTTGAAATCACATGAAAAGTAGTTCCGATACATATATTCAATTTGACATTACGAGGGTTGTCCTAAAAAGTCGTAGACAGGGAAAACAGTTTAGTTTCTTTGCTTAATTAACTTTTTTCCTTGTCATAGCAAAAAGTAGCATTTTATGATCATGCATTTCAAGTTTCATGATGATATCACATCTAATAAGAAAATTATGTAAAAATAAAGAAAGAATGTAAGTGTACACAGGCGCACGAAAGCAAGCGTATAACGTCATGATTTCTTTGTCTGCTTCACTTGCGTCTCTTAACATTCAACATATTTTTTTTTAAGTGATAGACCACTCTTGACTAAGGGTGTTATCTAAATTCACTACTGACCGTTTTTTTTATTTGTTTTTTTAACCAGATTCAAATTTCAGTCGAAATTTAGTAGAAAGATCGCCTTACATTGTAGGCAGCAGAGAATATACATTGTTTGACGTCGTTTGCTATCAACACCCCTAACTATTTTTGGTATAGAGGGAAAACTCTCATTGAATATCGTGCCATTTAAAAATAACTTCTTTATTAAAATTTGGTGTGTAATGTCACTTCTGTACTCTTCTTTCCCGTCTCTAATGTATTTAAACAATATCAAACACAATTTATTACATCTCAATACGCCGGTTACGTGTTTGACGACGTCATTTTCATCAAACTCAATTCCAACGATACTATGAAAACCATGACACCAATTGTCTGTTTCTAAAGCAATTTATATGACATTTTGACATATTATGAAGATTTTGTTTCTGATTTCAGTGATTTAAATTTGACTTCAATGTATTACATAGTACTAAAGAAATAAAAGCAAATGTAATAGTTATATGCGTAAATTATTCCGAATTTTGTTCGTGCGCCGACAGGCCTTATCGGCCTTCATATAAATCGTCTTAATATTATTAATATGAAAGCTATATATTCAAAAATTCATAATTGTAAAGAGTATTGAATATATTAGGTCTATGCAAACTTTGGTTAGTATTGGTTGCGTGTTTTAAAAATTATAAACATTGTCTACGACTTTTTGGGACAACCCTCGTATTTTAATGAAGAGGCCAAGAACATTCAAATTTCCATTTTCTGAAAGACTGTAGGCAAATTGGATACATTTTCTTTTTCTGATATGAAAACAACACCCATATTTATGACTGGTATTCTACACTTTTCATTGGAAATGACAGTTTAGAATATGAATTTTCATATTGTTTACCTACAAATTATGCCCCGAAACACCTTTATTGACAAAGCTAAACTTATAAAGCATCATTCACAGAATTTATTTCTTAAATTTTATAAATTTGTAGGCACCTTTCATTTACTAGATCTTGACCTCAAGTGAGCCCCTTAGTGTGTATCAGAGTTTACCTCGTCCTGGTTGCAGTACCCAGTAGTTCTACAGTCTAAAGGATCTAGTACACCCGCGCATTGGTAACATTTCTCTTCCGGTCTATCACCTGTAATGTGAGTAAAACTTCAAATTCAAACGGTTGACCAACTTATTTGAAAGTAAAACTGATAACAGTCGAGGTACTCAAATTATTAAATGCCTTTGCTCAAATGCAACTACACGTACATAATTATACTAAGGATTTGAAAAGGTTAGCCATTATATAGTTTAACATAAATTTCTTACCTATTCCACACAGGTGTGTATTACAGGGGATACTTCCGGCGTCAGTGTGGTTTCCACCTGAGCAACACTCGTAACAATTTGTAATGTCTCTTTTTCCCAATCCGGAATTTTTACCGAGAACGTTCAGAATATTACAAACCTTAAATAAGGCAAAAGCAGATCTATATTAAATCTTTTTTTACTGCTCTCAATAATTTTTCGAACATTTTGCTTAATTTATTTATTACGCTGATGTTGTATTACAATATTTTAAATCTGGACAAGTAAAGCGTATTCGTATATTGGTGTCAAATAAATTAAACTCATACGTTATTTTGTTCTATGAAAACATAATCGACTATACGTTCTTGACTATTGTGTAAACAGTTATTATCAAAGTTCGAAAACTAAATATTACAGTCCAAGGTTACTTTTAATAGGAACGTTTTTATAATTCTTATTTACCTACTTGCATACTGATGCAACCTGCTTCGTAAACAATAGTCCCAACGTCTGTGGTTACTTTTCGTGTGAAGCATCCCTGAAATTAAACAAATCGAAACCACCTCTTTGAAATGCAGTCTGTGTCATCTTCATCGAAGTTGTTCACTTGCTATAATTTTAACTTTGATAACATGGAGGAATAAACACGGTGAGGCAGTTTGATTTTGAATACAATCATGAGTGAAATTTATTTCTTGGCTCTCTCTCTCTCTCTCTCTCTCTCTCTCTCTCTCTCTCTCTCTCTCTCTCTCTCTCTCTCTCTCTCTCTCTCTCTCTCTCTCTCTCTCTCCGCTCTAGCCGGATCCACACCATTAGATACTCACCTCTCCATTCCCACACTCCACTATATTGTTACAGTCTGTTAGGATGGGCACACCGCTACAGCTTAGACACCGAGGGCCGAGTGACACGGCTGTAAGGAAAAAATAAATTGTGTAACTAAGGTAAATAATGCTCAAGTATACATGACTGTGAAACAAAACATGCAGAACTCACAGAGGAGAGAATGTGTATATCTATTTATTATAGTGTCCGTATAGGGCCACTTGCTAAAGCTCAACATCGTGTTCAGAAAAACACGCCGTCGCGCTAACATACAACACGCCGTCGCGCTATCACAACATTGAACAACACGCTGTCACGCTAACGAACAACACGTCGTCGCACTAATACGGAACGCGCTTTCACGCTAACATGAGTTCGCACAAGTCGCTGTCTAGCTATTACACAACATGCTATCGCACTAACACGCTTTCAAGCAACAAGCCGTCGCGAGTGTGTTAGCGCGACGGCGTGTTGTGCAAACTCTTGTTAGCACGACAGTGTATTGTGCGAATTCGAGTTAGTGTGACATCGAGTGTGAAAGGTTGCAATGGCGAATTGTGTGTTAGCGTGACGGCATGTTTTGTGTTAGCGCGTAAACGTGTATTGCGAACTCGTGTTAGCGTGGTAGTATTGTTCAATGTTGCGATGGCGTGTTGTGTGTCAGCGTGACGGCGTGTTTTTCTAAAAAGGTTGTTGAGTTTTAGCAAATGGCCTTATCCGGACACCATATTTTACAGTCATGACTTTCAAGTATATGTATTCAAGGCTGTAAAGTAAATTGTCTTGTCTTTGCTTTAATTTTAGTTTAAAGTATAAATTGTTGTAATGCGAAAGCGAAAGTGGAAATCGAAAGCGAAAGAGAACATTATTGGTTGCAAAGCGTGAGAAAATGTGTACAGTGATGACTGTGAAGCGTAAGTGAATTAACTAGAGCCGAGCTCGTTGCAAAGCAACGAATAGGTCTTCCGTTGGAGCTACAGACAGGAAGACGTAGCCTTGAGTCTAGGTCAAGCCACATTCTAAAGTTATACAAGTAAGCAACCTAAAGGCTTGTAAAGGAAGCCACTTACAATGTTTCGCCAAGAAAAAGAATGTAAAGGAATGTATGCGACCTTGAATTTTCTATATGACCTTGCGTCAAGCAATGACAAACTCTATTTAAAAATCTAATATGTGTGTAACTGACTGGAAAAGTTCACACATGTTTTTAGATACTCTTTTAGTCCATACATCCAGGTAAAACATCTTATCTTTAGTGATCTTGAACTTGAGTCAAGGTCATGTCCCACCCTGCATTATATCAGCAATGTTTCTCAGGTACAAATACGGTAACGAATTTACAGTTTCTCTGTCAGTAACCTTGACTCGTCCAAATGACTGGATATGTTCAGCCATATTTTTTTCCTAAACATATACCAAATCGAAAGGATTTATTATGTTTAACACTATAATTTTACCTAAAGATTTAACTAGAAATATATCTACAGGACATGTCCTACCGAGTGTGTATTAGTAAATACACACTACATTAAAATCTGTATTTAATAGTGTAATGGGAGAGGAGAAAATGCAGCGGACCAGACCGGGATTCGAACCCGAGTCCCCTGAAACTCCGGTCAGGTGCTCTACAAACTGAGCTATCTGGCCACCGGCGATCGAACCCGGCTGACCGCCACACTAGTGTATGACATTTGTTGAGAATATCTTGAATAGTTTTTTTTTTAAATTGAAATCTTAAAAAAATGGATATAGATTATGAAATCCCCTTCAAATAATGCATAAATGCCTAAGCTTACATAAAAATATCTTAAATGGTTTTTTTTAATACTATGCAAAATGCAAATCAAAGAAAAGTGAGGTCAAAATGGAAAGTACAAGATCAAAATGTATCGGCATAGTAAAGTTTGAGATAAATGTCTTGAATGGATTCTTCAAAACTGAGCGTCGCCCGTGTGGCACAGTGGTTAGAGCATCTGTTCTAGACTAAGGTTTAGATAGCTCTCAGAAGTGTGTATCAGCATATGAAGTTAAGTAAAAATATAAATGCTCTCTTCAAAACTGAGCGGTTCCTTCGGACGAGACCTTTAAAACCGAGGCCCTGTGTCAGCGGCAGGCGTTGGCACGATAAAGATCCCTCACTGCTCAATGGCCCTGAGTGCCGAGTAAAGGTCAAAATTTGAAGCCCTTCGGTGACGTCTCCATATGAGTGAAAAATTCTCGAGAGGGACGTTAAACAATATACAATCAATCAATCAAAACTGAGCTAAATACTAACTTAAGTAAAGTGAGATCAAGGTTAAAAGAGAGGTCAAATAAAAAAAAAATACTGATTTAGTTGAATAGCTTACATTAGTATGTATCACCATAAGAAGTAAATGAATACTCAGTCTTGAATGGTTTGTTATGTTCCCCAAACAAAGTTGGGGAACATATTGTTTTTACTCTGTTTCTTATTATTATTATTATTATTATGTTCCCCAAACGAAGTTTGGGAACATATTGTTTTTACTTTTTCTGAATTTTTTCTTTGTTCTCCGGTACTTTTTTGTCCGCGAGTGTTCTCGTAAACTACTCATCCGATCTAGGTGAAACCTTTTTAGGGTCACTAGGTATGTTATGTAGATGTGCGGAACGAAGGTCATTTTGCGCGCACGTGCGTGCATGTGCGCGCACGTGTAACACGTGAAATGACCAATATAATAGATTTAGCCGTAACTTTTTAAATATTGGATGAAATGCTTTGAAACTCATAATATAAGGATATGATAGTAGTATAGACATGATGACATGGTCAAAATAGCAAGATCTCACGCGCATGCAGGTGCCCTTCGCTGCGATTGGCTGAAACTAAAAGTCTAAATATCTATTTTGTTTTCTGACAAAATCCTTTGAAATTTTGAACATAGTCTTACATTATGAAGATCTACAGCATGATATATAAGAATAATCATGAACGCACGCACATGCACGTGTGCTGCAATCTGATTGGCTAAAACTTTAAATGCCTACAACTTTCTTGGTTCTCAATAATACAGGGTGAAATTTCAAATATGAATAGATATAATGATTGCCTACATTATACTAATATCAAAAGTAAATGCATGGACGTGCATGCACATGCGACCGCACACAATGTATTAAAAGACAGTATACTTGAGTGTTTGATGTTCATGCAGAGTTAAGAACTTCTAAATGTCAAGACATGTAACATACTGGGGCATGCAGATCTTTTTACCCTTGACCTTGAAACTTAGGTCAAGGTCACTGGTAACCTGAATAAAATGTTGATATTAGCTATTTACCAAAATCATCTTGACCCATGAACTTGAAATCGACCTTAACCTCTGTCCTTGACCCAAGGGTAAAAAGAAACATGAAGTACATGTACATGTATCTAGAAACACCTTTCAGAGTTTATTTCGGTTGACAGGTTAGAAGTTAAAGAGGTGGTGGTTTTTAATGACCTTGACCTTTCATCCAAATGTCACAATCAATCTTAAGTTCTTGGAATAAGATACAAGATTCAACTCCAACGTTAAATAGGTTAAGAATAAAAATAACCCCCCCCCCCCACACACACACACACACACACAAACAAATCAAATTTATGGCAACGTAGAGAATCACTGTTAAACTCAAATAACACCTCGGACCCACATAAAATTTCAGGAAAACTGCAGAAAAGAGCTCGAGGAAAGTGTATTAAAATATTTCATTTGAGTTTCCAAAGTATATAGAAATTATTAATTTATACAGAAAAAATTACAAATCCTGTCGTGTTTAAAATTAAAGTGCAGATAACCAAAGTTGGCATATAAGCCTTTAATAGCCTATTTATTCAGATGTCGTTAATAGCATTCAATTCTACTGATTTGAAATAATATTTTAATACCAAGCATCCTTTGTTTAATTTACCTTTGAAATTTATTTGAATTTTTTTAGAATTACGCAATCCCCAGAAATAGCGATTTTCGGTATATTAAAAATCAATATACATGTACGCTCCTTCGTAAAATAATCAGATATTTGCATTCATGAAAAAAATATGAATAAGAAGGTGTTAAACAATATAGGTCATATTAGCTGACACGAATGTCTTTTTAAACATCTCTTGTAAAACCCAGAGAGTAGCCCCCTATGCATTGGAAAAAATGAATCAAAAAACCTTTATATATTTATTTACAAAGTATATAAAATTTACCAGGCACAGGTATCAGAGTTGTCAAAATGGCCTGAGAGGAAATATTAAAAAAATTCTGAACAGAAAGGAAAATCCCTTTTCCATGTATGGAACTACTATTGAATAAGTTCATTTTGATTGGTTAGGTATTGGAGTGATATCCGTAGTCGACTTTAACCCTGCCTTGTCGTCGGAATAAAACCGACTTGAGCCCGAGGTTAAAATAAGTAGAGAAATAAAATGTGAATCGATATATTAAAAATATGACATATGCTTGAAAAATGGTAAATTTATATATGTATTTTTTTCTTTGATTCGCGGGATAGAAAGATATGTTAATCGCTTAATCAACATGCCATAATCATCTTGCATATGCATGTACATGTACGGGTGCGCGCATGCAAAACGTTAAACAATAGATCGTTGATAGTTGATATCATTGTAACATTTATATTCTTAAATGAAATCCTGGGATACTTAGCATATTTATAAAAGGTCTTAGAGGAATAAGGCACGATAAGGGACATGGGGAGCGTTTGGGGAACATCTGTAACGGTCCCCGTTACAATTAGCACTAGTTATGTTCCCCAAACGAAGTTGGGGAACATATTGTTTTTACTCTGTTTCTTATTATTATTATTAAGGTCTTCCGTCTTCACGGAAGACCTTATAGTGATTCTACTGTTTCTTATTATTATTAAGGTCTTCCGTCTTCACGGAAGACCTTATAGTGATTCTACTGTTTCTTATTATTATTATTATTATTATTATTATTCTTATTTTTTAGACAAATTTTGTGCACGCGATATCTCGAGAACTATTCATTGGTTTTTCATCAAACTTTGAGGGATGATGCGCTCTCATATGCCATTGTTACATTTGGAAGAATTTTGGAACAATTCGCTTCC